GTCAGAATACACATCATAGGCAAAATGTACCAGTCGATTTTTCTCACAACTTCTCAAACTCTGGATCTAACCGGGATCTGGACGACTCGCCAGCTTTCTCAGAAACCATGAAGATATCACGTCAGTGACCATTCCTTTGTATTTGTGCTCTTGAAACTAAGTAGCTAGCTTGTCCTTGGTTCTGCTAGGGGTCTGGCATCAAATGTGCGTGGGCGAGAGCACCCTCTAAAAAAACCCGCCGCACCTTGAATAGTGTCATTTTGCATCAAAATGAAAGAGCTCTAAGTCTTGTGCGAAAAATTGCGTACAGCGTATTCTTGAACTAACAGGTACAGCTTGAGCATAGCCGTTTTGAAGTCTGAGGGCATGCTCTGATTTCTGGCCTATTCATACCCTGCTATGCCTATATGTGCCTCGGTCTGCTGAGATGTTTTTGAATTGCTAGGTTATTTCACCGCCTGAGCTTTCCCTAAAGGGAAATAAATGAATAACCGTCGATAAGCTTTCCCGAAAACACAACGGACATGGCCTATAGTGCTAGAAAGCAAAAAGCATTTCCTTCCAAAGAAACAACTCTTTCCTACTGGATTGGAGAGGCCGAGGCTAAGCTTGCTAAGCACCGAACAACGGAGGAACTACCCGAACAGGCTGATGTGCTGATCATCGGATCTGGCTTTAGCGGAGCTTCGGTGGCTTTCAATCTGCTTGAGCAGACAGATGAGACGGTATTGCTGCTGGAGGCTCGTGATATCTGCTCTGGGGCTACGGGAAGGAATGGTGGACACATGCGGAGCTACTATCATCACGATCAGTACGACTTCTCGAAAAACTACGGGCAGAAAACTGCCGCACACATTGCCATGTATGAGCACGAAGAGCTCAATGTTGTTGAGAATCTGGTCAGGAAGTATAGTATCGATTGCAACTTTGTTAGAAGAACCTCGTTCGTGACTTACGATGATCCTTCCTTAGAAAAATCTGGATTAAGAGATTACTATGCGTTTGTAAACAACCCCTATATCGATCAGAAGGTCAAAGATGGAGTGAGGATAGTGTTTGATGAACAAGCCAGAAAAGAGCATGCAAGCACTTCGTTTGGGGTCTACACACCTACATCCTCTGTGTGGCCGTACAAGCTAGTCTGCGGTCTTCTCGAGATTGCTCTTTCCAAAGGGTTGAACCTACAAACAAACACTGCTGTCGAGGAGCTGGAATGTCTTGAGGACAATACTTGGATGGTGAAGACACCACGTGGACACGTGCATGCGAGGAAAGTTGTGATCGCCACCAATGCTTACACGAGAGCTCTTTTGCCCGACTTTTGGGGCAAGATCACGCCTGTCAAAGGCGTGGTCTCTCATCTGAAATCAGAATCAAACAAGACTCTTGAGACCAACATGGTCCACACAATACCCGTCGAGATCGACTACATCAGCGTTCAAGACGATGGGTCGTTGATAATTGGAGGCGGTGGCAAAACATACAAAACTCCTCCAAACCGAGAAATGATGGTTGACAATGCAGACGACTCTTACTTTCCAGAAGAGACCAGGCAGTATTTTGTTGGGTATGCGAACCGGAACTACAAGTCTTTGGCAGACGCTAGATTTGTCAACGACTACACGTGGACTGGGTGTATGGGCTTCACAGAAGACGGGTTTCCTTTTGTT